TTACCAGACGGATCTTTGGTGTCACCACATCCATCTTCCCCTTCCTCTCCAATGCTTGGTAATGCCTTGCAAAACCAACAACTCCGTGGAGCATCGTACACCTTGCCTGATGGATCAGTTATCAGGGTAGGTACTAAGGAACATGCCTAAATACCTGTATAAACTGATATATATATGTCTGTCTACATGCAGTTCGTTTTTTTATAACAACGCTTGCACTCTCCTATATTTCACCCCATCCCGCACCCACACAGGACCCCCGCATGCCCCAGAGGCCCAAGTCACCTAACCTTTCAAAAGCTCTTCAGAACCGAGATGTGATGTCTGCTTCATATACTCTCCCTGATGGCACCCTTATAGACCCGAGACAGCAAGTAACCCATGACACATTAACTTCTTATTGTGGTATTCGTTTCTTCTGTCTCCCTACTGTTTACCATGTATTAGTTCAAGCTGATGGATGTTCTTCTTGCTCGGTTGTCTCTGCTTTTTCAGCAACCTATTTCCCCAAACCTGGCAAAGGCCCTTAGCAACGCAGCTCTGCGTGAAGCCTCCTATTCTCTCCCTGATGGTACTATTGTGATTGACCCCAAGAAACAGAAGTCACCGAACCTTACAGCTGCACTTCGAAACCCTTATCTGAAAAGTGCATCTTACACCCTGCCCGATGGTACTATCATCATTGATCCACGGAAACCTCTCTCTCCAAACCTCTCAAGTGCCCTTCAAAACTCTTCCCTGCGGGACGCCTCCTTCACTCTACCAAAAGGAGTTCAGGACCCGAATATACCCGTTTCACCAAATTTGGCTAAGGTTAGCTATCAAGCCTTTATTGTTAATTTTCTATTTGTTTTTCCCTATTTCTTTTGTATATACAACTTATTAATTTTCACATCACAAGTATATGGTACTTAAAAGGTTACCCAAAAGGTATGTAGATTTTGTTTTGCTAATAGATATGACTGTTGATGAAATACATATATTCCAAAAGTTGCCGCTTTAATTCTACTGCTGGTCAATTCAATTGCACTTGTCAACCTGCCAGACCTACTTTTACTAAAACCAGCTGTTTTAATTCTTAGGCCCTCAATAACGCAGCCTTGAAAGGAGCTTCGTACACCCTCCCAGATGGAACGATTATAGTGGACCCTAGAAAACCAAAGAGTCCCAACCTGAGAGCTGCTCTGCAGAATCCCTATCTTCAGGGTCTGTCGTACACACTGCCTGATGGAACCATCATCATTGACCCACGGAAGCCAGTTGGCCCTGATCTGTCTAAAGTGTGTACCTAACTTTGTATTAGCACCTGTTTGTTTTATTGGCTCTTGTTTTCACTGACCCTTTCCCTGTCTTAACCCTAAACCTAAACATTTAGCAAATTAAAATATAACCTTGAATAACAACTTGGTGACTTCCCTGCAGGCTCTTACGAATCAGAACCTTCGTAGTGCATCATACCGACTCCCTGATGGTACCCTGGTTATCCCCGGCCAGAAGCCCAACCTTTCATCCGCTCTGATGCAAAACCGGGCACTTCGGTCTACAGGTCTCTATCATCTAACAGAGGACTCTGTACTGTCAGGAGCACCAAAACCCACCCCTCCCAACCTTGCCTCTGCGCTCCGTAATGATGAACTCCGTGGTGGCAATTTCAGGTAGGGAACTACACTATACATTGTAAATTGTGATTGCAAGAGAACCACAGGATCAGTCGAAAACTGTTTCAAACAGTAGTTAACCCTCCTCATATGAATATTAATACCAAGTTTTCAACCGTCCTTGTTTTATCAATGAAGCTTTACGGAAGTGGTAAACAAGTTCCTGAAGAGTTTCTCTTTAAACAATCAGTGACATTCAGCCAATCAAAGCCAACCCAGAAAGTGTCAAAGTTAACACAAACTAATACCCCAGAGCAGGGACATTTTCTTACACCTTGAACTATTGCACAGGAAGTTAATTTAATTCTTGATTGATCCATTTGAATTGTATATTTCTATAAAGGTTCCTGGGAAAGTACCTGCGGCAGAAATGCCCTACCGTATAGAAAGGCCATGTGAATTTCCAATTATATCACAATAACAAAATATCGACTGAAAATATTTAATTGTCACATTTTAAATGTCAATGTTGTACAACCCTGTGTAACCTGTTCTTAATTGAAATAAACCCCTAATTGTTTCCACAGATTGTCGGATCGCTCTGTTCTCACACGTCAGTTTCACAACCCCCACCTGTCTGAAGCTATCCAAAACCAGCAGCTTCGCTATGCCTCATACAGGGTGCCAACAGGCCTGCAGGGTGAGGATAATCGCTATGCCGTGGTTCCTCCCTACGGGCCACGCTCAGGACACTGGGCCAGGGATGCACGAGGAGGAGCGGAATGCGGGGAAGATGTTTGGGCAGCTGAGAGGGTGTTACCACATGGTACGGTCCAGAATCTGTCAAAGTGGTCCATGTACAGAGAAGACGGTGTGTTAGAAGCATATTCACCAACACCTCGATTTGTGGACGGGCAGCCTCATGAACAAGACTGGACTCCTGATAGAAATAGAGTACCTGGTCAAAGCTGGTATGACAAGGTAGCTACATTTATGTATTTGTGGGTTAAATCATATTTTGTGATTCTTTTTCTAATGATATTTTATTGAAAATAATTGGAAAGGACTTTCTCTCTATCTAGACATTGTTCACGGAATTGCAACTGTGAAAAGTACAACATAGAAGCTGGAAAATCCACAAAATCATTAAAAAAGACAAAAAATAGAAACATATTTGAATTTCTGCATATTTTATGTCAGCTCTGTATCAACTGATAACGATATCGCTTTGACAATATTGCATGCCAGTGTTGGTGGACCAACTTAAAAACCTTAACCGTGTGTGTGTGTGTGTGTGTGTGTGTGTGTGTGTGTGTGTGTGTGTGTGTGTGTGTGTGTGTGTGTGTGTGTGTGTGTGTGTGTGTGTGTGTGTCCAGATCTACTCTATCCTAAGCATGCCCACAACAGGCCACAGGGTGAAACGCTGGGCAGTGGGGATGGAAGACATGACACAGCTGCCGTAAGCATTCTGCATAAGTTAGCAGTTTGAAAGAAATTATTCCTCAATTATCTCCCGACATGCTGCCAACTCTCTCCCCAATGGCTGATTTTGATATCTTGAATACCATTGAAAAGTAATTAATATTGGATATCAAAGTGGGTGTGGGAATCCTGCTGCAGTGTGCAATATGTGCTCTGTACATGTGTGTTTAATATCATCTGTCTTTAATTTCAGTGAGCTGAATGAGACCACCGTTTTAATGAACCTCAAGAAGCGCTACGACCAGGAGCTTGTATATGTATGTTTAATTTCTAGTATGCAAATAAGATAACTAATATCATCAAATGTCAAAGATATCCACTCATCCGCTCTCCTTCTTCTCCTTTATTTCCCCCTTTTTTATCCATACAGACCTACATAGGCAGCATCCTTGTGTCAGTGAATCCCTACAAGTTGCTCAACATTTACGGCACAGACATGGTGCTTCAGTATGAGGGCCGCGGCCAGAGTGACAATCCTCCGTAAGACATGGGAGTGTGTGTGTGTTGGACCTTTAGTTCCAGGACTTGTAACTCAAGGAAGGGTGTTACGTTTTAAGTTAGGCCTCTCCTTCTATCTGTTGGTGACATTTCTTTAAAATCTGGTGGAAAGTTAGGCCACTTCTTAAACTAAAAACGCAAATCAAACATTTCTGAAATATCTTTAAACTTAAAATAAACAATTTAGATGACTGTGCAGGCTTGGTCGAGGTGTATATTCTCTTAACACTTTTTAGTTTTAATCAGAACTCACCAACAAACTCTCTAAATTATAAAAACTTGTGCATGCATGTCCCTGTGTGAGTTTGTGCTGTTTATGCTACATCTGCCTAGATGCGCTTTGCTCTGAGATATAGTGGGGTGGGAAATAGAGGTGCAATTGCCAGCTCTCCTAGGTGTTGGTGAACGGCTCATATTACACTGCTGTTGGTTGGTTGCCAAGGGAGAGTCCGGTTATGGATTTCACTACTACGACTTCAGAGCACACACACGCACGCACACGCACACGCACTCGCACACACGCACTCACACACACAAAACCAATTAGCATACAAATGGATTTTTCTTTAAAAAAGTATGTTTTGTTGTGTTGCAGTCATCTTTTTGCCATTGCTAATCTCGCATATACCACCATGATGGATGCCAAAAAGGACCAGTGTATTATGATAAGGTATGAAAACTTTAATATCATTTGCAACACTTGAATACAATTAAAAAAACTTGGTGCTGAGTGCTTATTTTTTTAAACGAAACACATTTTCTTGGAATTTTCTATTAAATGATTTGTCTACGATGTGAAACATCTTCTTTAAGTAATGAAGAAAAAGAAGTGCTGTAAAAGATGGATTAACAATTTTTGTTATTACAGCGGAGAAAGTGGGTCAGGAAAGACGGAAGCTACTAAACTAATCCTGCGGTACTTGACAGCCATACATCACAAAGGCAACATTACACAACAGGTAGATACAGTGTATAAAGTACATTAAGTACTATTATACAATGAGCATGCTAACATACAATGTGCATACTGTTTCACTTTAAGTTGACACTCTTATTTGCTCCTTTATTCTCATGTCTTCTTGACATCAGATAGAGGTAAAGTATTTTTGTTGTTTGGTTTTGCTCTCATGATATCATCGTTGTTGAAATTAGCCAGTGTAACATTTCTGCCTGTCGTGGTTGGTCAGATCCTGGAGGCCACGCCCCTGTTGGAGTCTTTTGGTAATGCCAAAACAGTGCGCAATGACAACTCTTCACGCTTTGGCAAATATACGCAGATCTACATGGAGGAGTGAGTAATACCAATGTGTTTACACTCCCAAAAGAACATGAATAGTGAATGTGACTATGTACTGTACATTGTCCTACAACAAGGCAAAGCTCTCTTTTGCTCTCTGCTTGAAATAATAGGACATTTTTGGATAAGGAATATGTGTGTGTGCATAACAAGGGCCGGGTGTGTTTTTTCTCAGATGTAGCTGGAGGGTGCCCTGATAGATGTTTTTTCAGTTGTTTTTGTGGTATTCTGCAGATTTCTTTGGAGCATGCAAGACTCATCTTTGTGTGAATGTACAAAAGCCTTTTATATTATCATATCAAGAAGAAGAAGAAGAAGCATAAGAAACAGTTTTGAGTTTTCAGAGTCTGGAAAGTAAAACATCCTTATGATCTGGAAACAACTTCTCTCATTAGATCATAAGAATCAGATCCTTTATTGCAATAGATTTATTTATTTAACTTTAACCAAGACTAACTGTGTGTCCGTGCGTGCGACGTGCGTGCGTGTGTGCATCTGTGAACCTGCATTTTTGTATGTCATTTACAAGGGGTGTAATCAGTGGTGCCATAACGTCTCAGTACCTGTTGGAGAAGTCCCGCATTGTCTTTCAGGTGAAAACACACACATGGACTCAAACATACACACACTTAGCAGGTTAGGCAGAGTCTTCTTACCAGTGAGTCATTGTGGGAAAGAGGAGATTGTAGAGGAAGACAGCATGAGAAGTGTCAAGCATGTTGAACTCTATTGTTACTGTACACAGGCCAGTCTGTTCATCAGTCATCTGTCCATTTGTCTTTTCCAAACCATTATTTCTTCTCCAGTAAAAGCTACCACCACATATCTTAACTGTTTGTGAATATGTGTGCACATTGTTGATTTTTAAATGTGGTTTTGCCGTGTGTTTGTTGGTTCATCCACAGGCCAAATCGGAGAGGAACTATCACATCTTCTATGAGATGTTGGCAGGTCTTCCTCCTCATGAGAAGAGCTCACTGTATCTGCAGGAAGCTGAGACTTACTACTATCTAAATCAGGTGCTTGGAGAAATACAAAGTACACTCCACTCCACACACACACAAACACAGCACAAGGAGTGGTCACTATAATCAATTTGACAGTCACATTAACAAATGAGCTGTCAAATTTCAGAACATTTCACATTTATTATACTAATTGATCAATGGCACAAACATAAAACACATTGCGGTACCCAAATACAGAATGAGGGATGTTTTCAGTGTGGATTTGTTTGTATAAGAGATATATTGAGAGATAACTGTTGTTTGATCATTTCTGTCAAAATTGGATGAATTACTTAAAACCCTGTGTAATCACTAGCAAGGCTTGAATGTTGCATTTCTGTATTGCTTTTCAGCAGTGGCTATGACCCCTCAAACAAAGCAATGTCTTGTCTACAGGCAGTAGTTAAAGCAGAGAGCAATGTTAGATTGTTTAATTTGAATAACTGTCCAAAGCCTAAGAAGCTTAAACTAAACATAATTTGAACTGTAAGGAAATAAGGAAAAATTGTGAGAAAAAAATAGGTGTAGTTTATGTTGTGCATGGCTCTAAGGAAAGCAATGTTTATTGGTCAGTTGGTCGGTTCATACAGATCTTAAAACCTATTAAATGGATAACCATCACGTTTTGTACCGACATTCATATGCAACAAAGAGGAAACATATTAATCTAGGTGTTCCCTTGACTCTCTCTTAAGCACACAGTGAGGGAAGCAATTTCCTTTGTATTGAAGGGTCTCTACAACTATTGGATGGACTGCAATGATATTGAGGAGACAGTTATTTTCCCACAGGGTGAATTGTAACAACTTGGGCTAACACCTGACTCTTTTTTCCTTTTTTTGTCGAACACATTGGCATTTTACAAAATACAGTACCCCAAATGTAGTTATTGTGACATCCCCATAAGTCTCAGCTTTACTTTACGATTAGTGTTAGTAAGTACGTTGGAGTGATGACCTTTAGATAGCTCTACACAGTGCTTATCATTTGTTTCTCCTTTAAAGAGACTGACTATTTCTGTGTTTATCCCTGTCATCATGGCACACTTGGTTGTCACCACAGACTGTATATATAAAGGTTGCCACCATTGAGCTGGTTTGCTCCTTTGCGTTTCTCAGTACCACTTCATGATGTGATGAAACACAAAGCAACAGATAGCTCACGCCAAAGCTGATTAAAGATCCTTGACTAATTGCATCTTAATTGTTGCTGGTTACTAGGGCTTATTTTTTAAATAACACTAGGGAGAAAAGTAATGTTTCATTGCCTTCTGCGGATGAATAATGCCACACCCTGAAGTAACCCTTTACAACACTTCTAGGGCTGTGTAACAATATCACAACTTTCCAAACACTTCCTGCATTTTATCCCTTTTGTAGACAGAACTAGAAAATAATGGCTTTCAGTATGGTCTTGCTCGCAGCCCATTAAAGCAGCAGATACAAAATAAACAATAATAATTTAAAATATTTCAAAAGGAATTTGTGTAAAAATAAAATGCTGTTGGAGAGTAGTGGTGGCATTTTATGAGCCTTTTATGCGTTATTCACATGGGTATCGAATAAGCAGTGTTGGGCAAGTTACTTCCAAAATGTAATACATTACATATTACTTATTACTGTCTTTTTAAAGTAATAAGTTACATTACAATATTACTGTCTCTGAAATGTAATGAGTTACACTACTTTTATATCACTTTTGAGTTACTTTCATCAAAATAACCGCAAAAGAATGGCTAGGTATTTTAAATGCTAAAATGTGGTTTAGTGCAGCTCATTATACATCCAGTGAAGGGCAATGTGGTATAGCTGTGTAGGCCCTTAAGGCTACTAACAACTTGTATTACACGGCTTATTATAGCCGTGTAATACATTATTATTATTATATTAGTTGAATACTCGATTCTGATTGTAAATTCTTAACATGTGACACGTTGTTAATACAGTAGTACAGACCACTGTCAAGGAATATAATGAAGGTTGCTAAGGAGGATCAAGAAAGAGAAAGGAAAAGAGGTTAAAAGACGGAGCGCTGGACGTCAGATAAAGTTTAGTAGGCCTATATGGCCGTGTGCGAGGCGGTCATTATGGGGAAAAGAACACCCGACAGGCTGATCAGGGAACCCGATGCGAAGCGGAGGGAACTTGATGAGCCTTAAGGGTAAACATCAGACTTACTAATCTACCCGCACAATTTTTCTCTGGTGTCGGAATGTCTCGCGATGTTAGTGAATTCTTAAAAAACAAAACAGCATTTAATTCTGGGTTAATTCGCCGGTTCACGTCCCGATCGGACCAAAAAAAGAAGGAGTTAGCTGGTAGCTGGAGAGGTGCCAGTTCGCCTCCAAGGCCACTGCCGAGGTGCCCTTGAGCAAGGCACCTAACCTCGGAACTGCTCCCTTGGCGCCGGGGACCTGGCAGCCTCTCTGCTCTGCCACCTCTCCTATCTGCATGTGGTTGTGTGTGAGCATGTATATCCTCTGTGTTTGTGCATGTATATCCTCCCCTGTGTGTGTAATGTGTGTAAACACAACAGAGTGGGGAAATACATTTCCCTGTAAGGGATTAATAAAGTGTATCTTCTTCTTCTTCTTAATGCGTTACATTACTTTGTTACAGCAAAAAGTAATACATTGCTGTAACTCCGTTACTTTTGTAACGCGTTACACCCTACACTGCGAATAAGCAATAATAAGTAAGGAGATAAGAAGTATCAAATGACATACTCTATTGGTATGGTTGTTACTTTAAGAGAACTGGTATATGGTAATTATAATGATAATTTAAAAAAGGATTCACGGCCGACTGCAGCAAGGCAAGAAGTTTGACCCCTCAGGTCAGAAAAAACTTTCATCAGCTGATTAGTTGGTCCTTAATTAGGAGCTTTGATTAAACAGGCTGAGGGTGAATATGTTGTTGTTGATAACTGTGTGTGTGTGTGTGTGTGTGTGTGTGTGTGTGTGTGTGTGTGTGTGTGTGTGTGTGTGTGTGTGTGTGTGTGTGTGTGTGTGTGCGTGTGCGTGTGCGTGTGCGCGTGTGCGTGTGCGTGTGCATGAGTTCAGGGAGGGGATTGTACCATAGAGGGGAAAGATGATGGGGAGGACTTCAGACGTCTGCTGAGTGCCATGGACATCCTGTGTTTCACCCCAGAGGAGCTGAACGGCATCTACAGACTGCTGTCCTCTGTCCTTCATCTGGGGAACGTCTACTTCCAGCCACACCAGGTCACAAACACACACACACACACACATATAGACACACACACAAATCGGCCCCACCAATGCATTTAGTTTCACGGTTGAATGATAATGATGATGTTGATAGATGATGGTAATAATGACTGGCGTTTGTGGGTGTGTCCCTGCAGGCTGAGGGTCAGGAGGTGGCGTCGATGGTGAGTGCGCAGGAGATCAGGGTGGTGGCTGAGCTGCTGCAGGTCTCACCTGAAGGCCTGCAGAAATCTGTCACCTTCAAACTGACAGTGAGCAGAACACACAATCACACCGTCTCTGGCATACCACAGAGAAAGCTGTTTTTAAAGAGATGAACAATTGAAGAGATGTTAACAGATGGTTTTGCTCCCCCAGGATACAGTAAGGGAGAAGATCTTCACTCCTCTCACAGTGGAGAGTGCTGTGGATGCCAGGTGAGTGGGTCTGAATATAGTATCTGTTGAATTCAATACTATGCGACTTCTTCTTCATGGAATAAAAGCCTATCAGTTTTGTTTCAGGCTTTATAGTTTCCTCGTTTAAAATTATATCAGGAGACTACTGAGAGGGAGTGAAGCGTCTTTGATTTTGTTCTCCTCCCATCTTTGGTAGAGTTATGTGAGGAGAAAGGATTTCATGGCTGGGGGAGAGATTTTTCAGATGTCCTCTGTTTCCATAGGAACCGGGTATCCTGTTTCCATAGAAACCTTATTGTGTGTTTTTCATAGAGATGCTGTTGCCAAGATCCTGTACTCGCTGCTGTTTAGTTGGCTGACAGAGCGCATCAACGGACGGGTCTACCCTCGCAACGAAGCGCTCTCCATCTCCATATTGGACATTTATGGATTTGAGGTCAAGCTAAAGAGAGATCTGGCTGATTGATGTTACAGCGCTGATGCGTCTGAGCTGCCCTGTGTTAACTTCACTCCCAATTGTCTCCTCTCTTTACTCTCCAGGAGCTACAGGTGAACAGTTTTGAGCAGCTGTGCATCAACTACGCCAATGAAACCTTGCAGTTCTTCTTTAACAAGGTCATCTTCCAGGAGGAGCAGGTCAGGGAAACTACAAGTTAATATTTGTATTTAGAGTGCTCAATGAATGAGCCGTAAAACACAGAAATAAATCAAAAACAGTTCTCTGTGACTTCCTCCCATCAAAGGCAATTGGATTTCTGAATGGGTAAAGTGGGTTGAAATGATACAAAGCATGTGGGTTTCAGTGTTCAAGTAAAAGTATAAATAGTATGGTCTTAAAGTACTCCATTACAAGAAAAAGTCCTGATTTCAAAATGTAAAGGTAAAAAAGTATTAGCATCAAAATATGTTTAAAGTACAAAAAGTATTCATTCTACACAATGGCCCATTTCAAAATAATATACAGAAGTATAATCAGCTACATTTACTTCAAAGTAAAAGTACTTTTTTTTCATATTATCCAGTTTTGTATGATTAGGTTACCCAAAGAAATCCATCATTTTAATCAAGATAAATGGTTAATGTAGAGAATAGCAATTAAGATATATTTTAGCCTTGATTGCAACATGACTCATTTTAGAAAAGCTCTTTTAAACCCACAAGGTCATTTAATTTCACAAACTATAGTGGACACAGCAATACTTGAGCTGAAGTGAAAACTGAAAACAACCAAGAAGAGATTTATAAACGCCGACCTGATTAACTCTTGTGCTGTGTGTGTAGGAGGAGTACATGCGGGAGCAGATCCCGTGGCAGCAGCAGCCCTTCAACCACAACCAGGCCTGTCTCGACCTTATCGCTGCAAAGCCTCATGGGATACTGCGCATACTGGACGACCAGTGTGGGTTCCCTCAGGTACATCTACACTTGTTGAATCAGACTCTTAATCTACAAAGTAATTGTAAATCACTGAAAGGTATAATAAACAGAGCTGATATAGGCTATACCAATACAAACAGTCCCTAGTTTAAACAAAGGGCATTCATTATTCATTGCTCCTTTAAAACTTGTTCTCCAAGCGTGCAAGGATCATATCCAGTAGGACAAATGTTGTTAAATGTAAACTAGATACAAAATCTTACATTATTTATGTGTATTGCAAAGAAAAAAGTAACACCTGACATAACATGATTAAAATATTTCATAGCACAATTTTGAAATGAATGTAGTTAAAGATCTCACATATTGGATTTCTCATAAACCAGGGCACTAAAGTGTACTGCAGTTTTCTTGGATCAATACAAAACAATCCCACACGTTCACTTAATTGCCTACCTGCCGTTATCATTAATCCCGGGGCTCCTAATGTAAGACGCTCATCTTGAGATAAACATATTATAAAGTGTCTCGGAGTGAAATATGAACACGGTGTTACTGATGGAGGCAATCTGCTGCACACACACACAGGCAACATGTGTTTGTGCTGTAGAGATAGATTTAGTTTCCATGGCTCACCAGCCATTAACCATCTCCAATCATCGCTAGGCAACAGACCACACCTTCCTTCAGAAGTGCCACTATCACCATGGAAACGACCCGCTATATGCCAGGCCAAAGATGCCACTGCCAGAGTTCACCTTGAAACACTACGCTGGGAAAGTCTCTTACCAGGTACATTTCATTTGACTTTATTTTGTTCTTCTTCTCTTCCTTGTCATTTTCCTTTTCCTCTGGTTTTTTTGTAACAATTGAATTGCCCTCTAGCATTAGCAACTGGGATACAACTAGACAACCACATTGCTTTCAAATTTGGCTAGTTGCCAGATTTCTGCTTTCTCAGAGCCTACTATTCTAAGGAAAGGTGCTCTTGTGGTATCTTCACATATTATTTGTTAACAAATTAAAATGTCTTCTTCAATGTATAACAACTCCTCAGCCTCTTTTGCACACGGTGCTCAGGGATTTTACACTTGTGTTTAAGCACTGTTGAATTCCTGGTTTGATTTTGATCATAGTTTTCTAATTATTTGTGGTACAGGTGCACAAATTCTTGGATAAGAACTTTGACACAGTCCGCCAGGATGTTTTCGACCTCTTCATTCAGAGCAAGAACAGAGTGAGACGTTCAAATACACTTTATTTCCTTTGCCTTACTCTCTTAGTTTTCTCCAACATTTACAGTAATACCCATTTTGTATTGCTCAAGTGATCTTCAATCACATTTTAAATATCAAAATGAATACTAATCAACATGTGTTGTAGTACTACCATTATACTTCAAGCTCATACAATGTGATGCATATTTTGAGTTTTGCTTTTCACTTGTCTTTTCTTTTTAAATATCCAACAACACATGAAGTAAATATTGTTGTTGTGTACAGATGGTATCCAGTCTCTTCTTAAAGCACTCAGAGTTTGGGTCTCAGCAGCGGTCACAGCGGCGCAGCAGCACGGCTCGGCGTTTTAATCCCAACACGGTCAGCGCGAAGTTTCAGAGCAGCCTGCAGGAGCTGCTGGAGAAGATGGAGAGGTTTGAGTTAAACATTTTACCTTTAGGGACAATAATTCATTACATTTTTTTTATTGGAGCGCTTTTCCAGGTGCTCAAAGCGCTTTACATTACAATGAAGTAACCTCTGGCACACCTTTATAACATCATTTGAAAATGGTACAGTTGTATTCCAATTGCATCCTATTTTCCACTGATTGGTGTTTTAGCTGCTTTTTTACAACTCTTTAAATGCGCAAAGTGAAACTGCTAAATGCATTCAAACATGAGTGCCATCATTCATTCCAACATGAATGAATGCATGTTTAGCTCCTGATAAGGTTAACATGTAACTCTAATACATTTACTGAGAGGTACTGCAAGATGTAGAGAGCATAAAATGGGAAGTTACTTATTATTGTTATTGCCTTAAAAGACAATGAAAACTGAACAATGGGCCTCATTCAACAATATCTTACCAATGTTTCACTTAAATGTATTGTGTTTACATTTTAAATATAAGTGGGTCAGTGTTTGTAGAAGCCAATCATATTGGGAAAATGCATTTTCTTTGCTTAATCTGAGTTTAGTCCTTTGTTTTATAGATTAAGAAAACAAGGCCCTGGAGTGCATTACGTCTGAAACTGTTTATACTGTATGCTTCAATCTCATCTATCTGTGACAGGTGTAACCCTTATTTTGTGCGATGCATCAAGTCAAACCATCGTAAGGTATATTTGCATGTTGGATGGTGTGTGCAGGTTTGCAGTGTTTTGTTTAGGTTTTTTGGATTGAATTGTAACAGCTCATGCAAATGATGTGTTTGCTAATGAAATTTGTAGGAGCCAGCCGTGTTCGACATGCAGCTGGTCAACACTCAGCTTCATTACTCTGGCATCATGGAGACCATCCTGATCAGGAAGGAGGGTTATCCAATCAGACTGCACTTTCACAGCTTTCTCACAAGGTACGTTACTTACTAATCTTCACCTTAAATGTATTTTAGGATTGAATGTACACTTCGATTGAACCACATGTTGTAAAGACTCATCTCAACATCTAAACAAAAAAAAAACTATAATTACAAATGTCTACAATATACAGTATGTAAATTCAAATGAAAGAGCTGTGTCATTTTTAATAGCCTATTTATGCAGAAATATCCCAAATTGTCAAGGAATGTGCAATGTTCACAGTACAAAGTATAAAATAACACGAAAAGTACAGCGATATAGTCCTAAATATGTTTCTGTAATGCATACAGATAGATGTTAAGATGTTAATGCACGGTGCTGTGTCTATGGGAGGCGATAAGTATTCATGTCAGTGTCGGTCCCCTACCTCTGCCACAGGCAGATTATTTTCTCAAACAAATTATTACTGTCCCTTTTAACTCTCAAGACCTTTTAAAATGTCAAAATTACTTTAATTATAGGCTTTTTTTCTAGTGAGTGCACAATTCACACACCAATTTCCTCATACTGAAATAGCCATCTGGCACACGTCAGTGCCTGCAGTGTGAAAGCAGCTGAAAGCATTGATCTCACAGCACCTCTGACCAGCGGCTGCCAAAGAAGTCTGACATACAGTATCACAGAAAAACTCTTTCCTACACTTACAGTCAATTAGATTTACACCAAAACTCCTAAATACAAACAAATACTTACAAACCAACCCTCAGAACACTTATAATCCTAATCAGCCTCACACTAGGCCCCTGAGATTCACAGCCTTTAAACAGACTTTTAGTTGACTAAAATATGTTTTGTTGCTGCCTCGGTCCACAGCAGTAGTTTGCTTAGCTTCTGTGCCCGTGCTCCTGTCTGTTATTTCAAGCTGGGGGCATGTTGACCACCATCTACTGTAGATAATACACTGTCTTACCATAATTACCTAAAAAAGCCCAACTTCAATCTAACAATCCCTTTAACAAACAAGCAGCAGCTTTATATTTCACTGCTCTTGGTTTACATAAAGAATTAATAATGTCATTTTATATGTGTGTGTGGGTCTGCTCAGGTATAAAGCGCTGCTTTGCCTGAAGGACACTCCACCTGCAGACGGAGAAAACTGTGTCATCATGCTCCACAAGCTCGGCCCGGTCAAAAACGGCACGTATCAGCTGGGAGTCAGTAAGGTGAGCCAATTACTCATGTACTAAATAAAGTCAAAATAATCATACGTAACAAATAATTGCTTTGGTAAGAAGATGTGTGTGTGCTTGTTAGATCTTCCTGAAAGAGGAGCTGTATCAGCTGTTGGAGGGGAAGCGGGACCGTGTGCTGAACATCGCTGCGATGACGCTGCAGAGATACACCCGCGCATGCTTTGTCCGAAAGAACTTTGCCAAGTTACGGCGCCGCATGTTTCTGTTTGGAGCTCGCTGCAAAGGATACCTGGCCAGGTAATGTTCAGCTGAACTAAAGGGATGCTGCTTCACAACATCAAACAAGCTGCACACAGTGGCCAACTGCTCAGCTAGAAGAGACAATTGTTTTAATCTGATGACAATTACACACTTTACGCCAATTATTTTTAAAGCCTCTGTGCTGGCGACAGCTGAGGCAGAAGTGCCAATCGCAAAGTTAATAAATCAAGGTCACTGCTGCTACCTCACATCTGTCCAAACCTTGTGAATCCCGAGAACGCCTAAATTCCTTGAAATTTGGCACAAAAGAAAATCTTAGGATTTACTGATTACAATTTGATGGACAAAAGTCAAGGTCACAAAGCATTATATCTGGCCATTAGATAAGCATCAAGGTGCTAAATGATGACCATTTCACACAAATGTCAAATTTAATTAAATCATGATGATGTTATGACATTGCTGGACAGCCATGGGTGTAAACTGCAACTGGTCTGCTGGGACATACAACCAAGAGGCTGTGATTCTAGATGCCAATAAATACAAAAAAGAAGAAAAAAAGTAATAGACATTCATTTATTTTGCAATCATCCTTGGTGCCATTCCTCTGGTTGAAAACCCCTCGTATCATCCGTCTCTTCCTGGAGGTTGGCTCTTCTGAGCTTCAGCTTTCTTTTATCGGCAGCAGTGAAATATAGTGATCGTTTTCAGCGAGCCGAGTATGTCAAAGCTTGTTACAGGCAACCCTGTCTCTCTTCATGTGAGAGAGACAGGGTCCGAGGATCGAAGTCTCGCTCATCCATTAAACATAATAGATTTATTACTGACGGACAAACTGACAAAACCTGGAGCGTTGTGCAAATTTATTTTTTATTTGAACGTTTAAAATGCACTTACTGGCTTAATGAGGACACTACAATGGCAATAAACACAAGGTCAAACCTTTTGAGTCAGTAATTATACTTCACAGATCATTTATCACACTTTGATGAATACAGGGGGATTATACATTTTTCCCAGAAGCTGTAACTAACTCTATAAATGTAATTAAGACAAACCTTGCTAAATGAACTGTGCAGTGGTTTATGCCATTTTCTAATAATGGCTTTTAAATGAAAAAGTGCCAACTCCTTTAATGTGTTTCTTTAGATTTGTTGTACTACTCCCTATCTGTATCTTTATGAGTAATCCATCTCCTATTGTTATTGCTTTTCCTGAACAGGAAAAAGCTTGCTCTGAGGAGAAAGTACCTCATCAGGCTCCGCTCTATCGTGCTGCTCATTGTCAACCGCCAGCGTTACATGAGGGTATGCACACTGTGTCTGTGTCATTTAAAGTATGTGCGTCTGAAAAATGAATTTACAGAATGAACAAATGTGTGAAGTGTGATACTGTTGTCTTTCTGTCAGACAGTGCTGGAGCCTGCAAGGAAAGCAGAGGAGGTGAGTGAGGGTGTGAAATAAAGTGAAAAGTGTCTGAGAGGAGGGAGAGACACACTTTGAGAAAAGATGAAGCTGCAGCATGAGTGTGTCATATAAGTGTGTGTGTGTATGTGTGTGTTTGCGATGTGTGTAGGATCGCATCAACAGAGAAGTGGTGAATGTCACAACGCTGCCCATTCCTGCTGAGCTGGCACTTCTGCTACAGGCGGCCTCAGGTACGCGCACACACATACACACGCACACACACACACACACACACACACACACACACACACACACACACACACACACACACACACACACACACACACACATAGATGCACACACACAGATTTGCAGTCAGTCCGTGTTATATATAAACTTCCCTCCACCTTGTTTGCGGGTTGGTTCAAAAATATTTACTGTTGCTTTTCTGTGTGTGTGTGTGTGTGTGTGTGTGTGTGTGTGTGTGTGTGTGTGTGTGTGTGTGTGTGTGTGTGTGTGTGTGTGTGTGCAGGTGGTGAAGAGCTGCATTCTGACTGCTTGGCGGTGGTGCAGGCTCCAAAAGTTCAGGTTGACCCCCAGCTGACACTTCCCCTGGACATCAACAACTACCTCATGACACATTACATCCAGGCCATATTTAGGGTACTGAAACACACAGAAAACAAACAAACAGAAAACAATGTTGTCCAGCTCTCCATCCATGTCCCTATGTAAAATCAATTGTAAGCACCTTGGTGTGTGTGTGTGTGTGTGTGTGTGTGTGTGTGTGTGTGTGTGTGTGTGTGTGTGTGTGTGTGTGTGTGTGTGTGTGTGTGTGTGTGTGTGTGTGTGTGTGGGTGTGTGTGTGTGTGTGTGTGTGTGTGTGTGTGTTTGTGTTGCAGGAGCCGTTGTTTGGGATGCTGACAGCCCCGCTGGAGAGTTCACTGATTCGAACGGATGAGGAGTTAAGACAAGGAGCTCTGAACCTTTTCATTCTGGTAAATATTGCATTCACATGCTGCTGGGAAACTTCAAAGTGAGCTTCTAATCAGCGTTATGTCAGGGAGTGAAACCGAGGAAAAATGAACATGACTTGTAGCTTAAGAAGGATTATCCATTCGGGATAGTATTTCTATCTACATACGTGATAAAACCATGTGTTCAGAAGTCGTTTTGAACCTTTTGAACCTGATTTTACAACCATGCTTAGTCAGTTAAAATCTCTCTCCCTGGTAGTACAATTTTGGAGCGACTTCATGTAAAATGTAGAAATAATAAGCTTGTTTTTTTTCTGATATGCTTCATATGTGTACATGTGTACAGTGCTTATTGTCCATACACATTGAGCATTGCAGTGAGTCATATCCATTTACTTTCAGCAGGCATAATGTTAAAAGCTCAGACTAAGGACTTATAGGAAACCTATTTAGTTGTGATTTGACTTGTAAGGTTACAGAATGTGTCGTTAATGCCTCCACTTTTGATAGATACTGAGATTTATGGGTGACCCAAACTTGAATGGAGCTCAGGAGAATCTATTTGGGAACTACATCATCCAGAGAGGACTCGCCAATCCCAGCCTGCGAGATGAGATCCTGGCTCAGGTAGCCAATCAGGTGAGGCCCTGCTCTTTTTTATAGCCGGTGGGATGGCAATAAAGGAAAATGTTGGACCAGAATATTTCTATGTTATTGCACATCTCTTTCATTTCTGCTTTCTTCCATTAGGTGTGGAGGAACCCTAACATTTTGAATTCAGAGCGTGGTTGGCTCCTCCTGTCCTCCTGCCTCTCCGCCTTCCTGCCTTCTCAACGGCTAACCAAGTACTTGCTGAAGTAAGAAACATAGTGAAAAAGTGACATATGTTCACGTCTCATGGAAATGTCTACGCAACATTTATACAGTACATTTATTCCATGCTTTTCAGTGCATGCATGTCATCTTTACACATGTTTTCAGTACTTGTTTGGCAATTTTAAAGCACATTTTAGACTTCATTACATTTTCAAGGTGCATAGCATCTGAAATACTGTGAACATTAGCGCATTCATGAGGGACTTCTAAGGTTAAGTTGCTGGATCATGTACTGTAGTTTTAAATGAAAGAAGGGATGTGATGTAGTTTCCATCTCTCTTTTTGCTCGTCCTTGTTGTGGTTGTAGGTTTGTGTCTGATTACGGGCCGGAGGGCTACGACTGTGTGTGTCAGCACCGTCTGCTTCAAGCTCTGCAGCGGTTAAATGTCGGGCCGGAGTATGTCCGCACGTATCCACCCTGCCTTCTGGAGTGGACCGCCAATCGCAAGAGAGCGCACACTGTTCTGCACATACACTGCTTCGATGGTGAGAACACACACCCACACAACACATGTAGCCAAGAGCTGGCTTTAATTCATTTTATATTCAGATCTAGTTGCCAAAGTTTGGATGGATGGGAATGAGAGTGAAAGTGATCACATTACCAAACGTCTTTAGCTAGGTGCCATTGAAAGCATGTATTTAAAAAGATTAAATAAAATAGATACAATTGAATTAAATAAGGCTTAGATGTACTGATCATTGTGCAACTAAAAGTGTGTGTGTAGCTTTCTGCCCTCCAGCAACAGAGAGAGTCTTGTCTGTATATTTTCACTATAGCAGGAATTCAGTTTTCCCTTGAATAAATGTAAGTAATGATTGGCGTATTGATGCATTTGAAACATAATTAGTTAGCCTCCCTTTGGTTTTTGACTCCCTTTCATTGACCCAGCCTCACCTTTACTTGTTTTTCGTCTTTTCTTCTTCCCCTGAGCTCAGTCAGTGTGTTCAGTGTCCAGCACCGAAGAGTTATCCGTCTCTCATTTCCTCCTCTCATCCAGCTAATCTGTCCTCCGGCCTCTTGGCAGGCCTACTGAGGATTAGACGACACCTGAGAGCCTCTCTGGTTCACTGGCTTTGTTTGTGTCTGTTTGTTGATGCTGGTGTCTGTGTAAGGCCTCATAGGCAGAAAGGGAAGAGTGCTACCAACTTTGTTTTTGTGATGCCGTTGAGAAACCATTTTATAACCTGATTAAACAGCATTTATTGTATTATAGGATAAAAACACCTCACATAATTTCAAAGTTGCAAGTAATTGCTGTGTGTCAGAGGTATTTTGGCTTTCCCAAAAGAGAGCAAGGCGTCATGTCACTTTCAGCTGTTTGTCTATTAAGTGCTGTTGTTCTCCTGCAGGTGTGTCCTTCCTGTGTCCTCTACACTCCTGGACAACAGGGGAGGAAATGGCTAAAGACATCTTAAAACACAGGTATCATCGTTTGGACTATAAATGCCATGTTAGCTGAAAAATAAAACATTTCAGAGCTGGTTGGGTGGTAATAATAGCATTTGAAAAATTATGAGAGAGAAACGTTTCTAAATGTACAAGAATCAGTGTCTTAGAGACCTTTTCTGAGGTTCTTTTCTCTCGCACACTTATGATATTTGTATTTCAGAAAGTATCATTTTTGTTAATGAAAGACTTGGATATTTTGATTATTTTATTTTATTTTATTAGAACATAACCCTTCTCGCCCCACTCTGTATTTTATTTGTATTTTCAGAAGATGTTTAGGTGGAACTGTTGATCAGAGCATGTGTGTGTGTGTGTGTGTGTGTGTGTGTGTGTGTGTGTGTGTGTGTGTGTGTGTGTGTGTGTGTGTGTGTGTGTGTGCGTGCGTGTGCAGGGGTGTGACGGAGGGCCGTCGGGGCTGGTCGGTGGTGCTGAAGGAGCCGGCGCAGTGGGTGGAGCTGGAGGGCTCAGACTACGTTCTGGACTTGATGTCGGACCTGGAGCTTCCTGCTGACTTCCCCAAACACAGCAGCTACTTCATCATCTCCGCACAGGAACCGACCCGAGTGCGGACCAATGCCAGCATGTGAGACACACATTCACTAAATACAGAAGAATGTCCTATACTTGTGTGCAATTTGGGGTATTATAGTTAAGTATTTATGCTACTTTATAATCTTACTCCACTAGAATAAAAAAAATACAATTATCTTTCTGGTCCGTGTGCCATAAAATGCTATTTCTTTTTTGCCTGGAATTGGACCTGATTACAGGCATAAAGACTAACTCTGTATAAAGCCAATGTTCTTGTTTGTTTATGTAGTCCATAAAGAGCAGTATTACATTGTTTCATAATCTGGACAATATTCCTTGCAGTATCTTTAAATGTTACCTATGCAATGATGCATTTTATTATTCAACAGCATATTGGGTCAAGTGCTTTAACTTTAAGACTTTCTAACATTTAGCTGATCATTTTACGTTACTTATGTAACAGGTGTGTGTATTTCATCCACCGCTGCTTCAGTACTGACAAATGAGTGTAATTGTTTTTTTGTTTTACAGAAGCCTGTTGGGTGGTGGCTTTGACAAGAAGGATGATTTCATATCTTCAGCCTTACCTGGCTATGATGGACAAGGTAAACATTTAGGCTCAAACATAAACAAAGACAGAAACGTATATTCAGATAGCAGAGGCTGAAGTGCTCTCGTCTCCTCCTCACAGACTTTGAGCCTCAGAGAGGGATGGATCGTTATCTGGACAGCCTGTTTGACCCTGTGCTGTCTGAGGGGACTGGAGTAAGTTACATCTCTTACTCACACTGACACACTTGACCTCCTGAGAGGGGATTCCTCTGTCAACCATTCACTGTTGGTTACTGCACAGGTCCTGTAATGCTCCATTTCTCTTAGTAGTTTTTGCACTACAGAGATAGTAAAGAAGACAGTTAGGTTTATTTATAATACATAAGAAATATAGTAATGGTAATTAATGAAACGAAGGTGCTAAGAATACAAAAGAAAATACTGTATTGTCTACTTTTTATTTCAAACAGCAGGAATGTGTTTTGATTTGCATGTGCAAATTCTGTTATTAAGAAGGCTACATTAAAACCCATCAAATTGTGTGATTGGTCACACTTTGGATTTCAACGTAGAATAGGCCAAGCTTACAGTAGGTTTCTCATTGTATGGCCTTTGCACTTACGGCTTCTAAACTTTGTAACAGTCTTGAACTTTCTATTAGATCAGCCATTTTCCTTAGCATCATTTAAAACTCAACCAAGAACCTACCATGATAGTTAAGCATTTGTGTTCACCAATATTTAGCTTTATTCAGTAGACTGTTGCGTTCTAGTTGAATCAATGCTCTTACATTATTATTGTTTATGTCACTCTTTTTGTTACCACAGTGCAGCACTTTATTCGACTTTTGCTGTTTTTAAATGTGATCTAAAATATAAACTTAACTTAAAACTATCCTAGCAGATTGCCAGAGATGCAGTGTTAGATTACTGCTCTCTGCTCAGTAAAGGGAGCAGTGAAAAATTGTTGCCTTTTCATTTGGAAGGCATTACCCACCACACAATTTAAACTACACCCCTTTCATTAAAATGACACTTGTAGTACGACCTGATTTTCTCTGATTGACTTAAATCCGCTGGTACTAAGTCTGGTCAATGGTGCAGTGAATGCTGGCCATGTTGGATCTATCAGTCTTCGGCAGCGACGTGCTGAATGTTAGCTGTGCTATCGGATGTGGCTGACAGGAATTAGCATGTATCAGATGTGTTCTACAGACCTCTCCCGCCCAGCAACCTATTACGTTACCCAGTTACCGTAACTGTCACAGCGACTAGATCGCCACGTGATTTCCCACCAAGGCAACGCAAGGATCTACTTACGAGGAACTGACACTCTGGCAAATGAAGGGCTTACTATTTAATGAGACATGGCCTACAGACACACACTGCTGTGGATGTATGGGTCAGCGGCTGATTTCTGATGGACCGGTTGCTCACTTACGAGGGGATTTCTCTGATCCGACATTCAAAAGTCTGTTTTTTATCTCCCTGTATGTCTCTATAGCACTACTGTTGACATAGACACTTACAAGTTGAAGAAATTCTCCACCAAAAAACCTGTTACTATTAAATACATCCCCTTTTGGCTTAAAAGGCAGATCTTGAATTGTTTTGGTTTGCTCCTTCATAGTAGTTGGAGTCAGCTTGGATTTCAACCAAAGGAGACCATAGACTCTGCAAAAAAATAAGAAAAAACATGTCACAGTATATTTAACTGTTCTACTGCCATGATTTGTTATCGCCTCCACATAGCCCGAAACTTCCTTTGAATATATATTTTTAGAGATCTATTGGTCACATTTCTTTGGAGCACACTGAACGCACAGATCAGTTGTGGAGGATGGGAGGCTGCCACCCTCGCCCTGGCCAGGAGATATCTCCCACTCCCTCCCGCATTCATCGCTACATCTGGGACCCAGGAGATGGCGCCATAGGAGGAGACGACCTACCACGCTGGCAATGGACCACACGAAACCGTCTACGAACTGGGGTCGGTCGCTTCAAAACATCGATGAAGAAGTGGGGCCTGGCAGACAGTGCTGCATGCGAGTGTGGTGAACCTGAACAGACTGCCGAACACATAATCACCACCTGCCCTTTATAGGCCTATAGACCACCCTCGGAAGCCAGCCTCTTCGACTTAGAGATGCGGGCATGGCTACACGACAAGGAGTTGGACCTCTGACATTACACGAAAGAAGAAGAAGAAGTTGTGGAGGAGTGAATTCTGCTGCTGGAGATGATGGTTTTTTACACTTTTTGTCAACATTGAGGGTATTTATTAAAATACATTATAACTGCAGGAGCAAACTATACACCTGTCAAAGAGGTAGAGCTCGTTGTCATATGAAATTAATACAAAACCAGAGTTTCAGTACCAAATTCACCAAAATATGACCTAAAGGGATTAACAAAACCAAATTTAGATTTGTATTAGGAGCTATCTGATCAAAGACAAACAGGAAGCAGAAAGACCAGATATTTGCCAACTTTTGATACTGGATACTGTCAATACTAATAATTATAGATTCAAGAAATCAATCAAACTTTATTTGTAAAGCAGCTTTCATTCATTGGGTTGCAGTTCAAAGTGCTTCACAGATGACTGACAATAATAATGTCTATGAACCATTCTCAATCAAAAGCCATCATAAGCCGATACTTACATATCAGCCAATATACTGTACCTTGTTTTTTCATGTTGTAATCTGATTCTTAAGTATAATTTCTTTCTGTCTGTCCTCACAGGAAGCAGAATCAGCTGCAGGACTGTCCAGCAGGATGAAGGGGGCTGGGGGGGTTGGAGGCGGGTGGCAACAGCAAGGACAGTCAACCGGCCCCCCACCTCCACCTGGAGGTCAGTGAAAAACACAGGCTCTGTTTCAAATACTTCCCTTGTTCACTCATTCACTTGATGGTTTACTCTTTGGCAGGAATCATTTTCAATTTAAACTCAACAAAAAAAAATCTCACAACCTTTGTTACTGTATTAAGACAGAGCAACGATGAGATAGCACCAGCGTCTTGAATCACTAACTGGGATCTTGCAATATTGTTGTCAAAAAAAGACAGGGAAAAGTAAAAAAAACAAAAACGCTTAAAAAACCTTACTTTATATACATTAGCAACAAAAGAGGAGACAACAAATAAGCAGTTCCATTTCCTTTGCTTCACACACCATACAGTATGAACACTATGTAAGGTCAGGAGGAATCAGTGCAACTTACTTAACAATGAACAATAAAAACAACATGGTTATGGTTTTCTTTGACTACAATATTACTCAAATGTCCCGACTTTTTTTGTAACTTTATTTTTCAGTTTTTCACAAATACAATACATGTCCAACTTTATGGCAAAAAGTTGCAAAACCCTAAAAACCCGAAGCCCAGAAACTGCTCAATGACGGACATGACCAGAACATATGCCCCATGGAAACAGAGGAATAATGACACCTAGGACCGGTTGGAGCGACACTGGGCAAAATCTTAGCGAGTCTGTCGTTGGAGTAATGTAGCCCGTGTACTACCTTAAATTGGATTAATCCATGTCTAATACAGAAAGAAGAGGTGTGTGTATACGTGAAACAATGTTTTTGTTGTTTTGTATGTTCTCCAATATCTCCTTCCCATGCTTCTTTAGTTTTATTCCATGTGGGAGGGCAGTTATTCAGAATCAATGTATATATTTTGGACACAGCCCCTTTATTAAATGGATGAACATTAAGAACTGAGTGAGCTAGATCTTTAGAGGGTGGACATGGATATCAAATGTTCCGACTTTTAGCTAAATAAAACTAAACACTAAAGACTTCAAGATGAGGTCCATTAACTATGATTCAAATGCACAAGGAGATTTGAACACCTCCCTTTAGTGAATGTAGTAAATCATGTTGCTACTGACAGGTATTGCCACACAACTTTAATTTATGCATCATATTTGTACTGTGGGAAAGTAGTGTTCATGCTGTGAACCACTTACTGTGTTCATACATTTTTGAGAGCTTCAATTTAATCTAGGCACTGGAATAAAAGAGCACGAACATAGCCATAGACATTCAGTATAATAACACACTGAAGGAACCTCAAACTCTCAATTCATAATTACCAAGTGTAAAAAACACCACACTCTTAAAATATGATGTTTGTTTGTCCACAGCTGTGAGAGTCCTTCCCGTGGGAGGCGTGATGTCACCTCCTGTCGCTGCCGTGGCACCTGTAACACCTGGTTCGTATCAAGCGTGAAGAAAAATAAGAGAAAAGAACCCCCTCATTACACATCATTTGTCATCCCTCCTTCCTGTTGACTGTGTTTCTCCTCCTCTCTCCTCCAGATGCCCAGCAGGCTGTTTTGTCCCGGCAGCAGCAGGCCATCGTGAACCAGCAGGCCATCATCATGGTAAACCCTCCGTCTGGATCTGCGTCTGTTTATCTCTCACAGTTCTTGTTTCGGAGTTAACGCGTCTTGTTTCTCAGGCCCAGCAGATGACCATGCAGGCCATGGCCATGACGAGCCCCCCTACTTCCCCAATCACAAGCCCCCCCATGAGCCCTATACTCACACACCCTCCCAGCCCGTATGCACCTGCCAGCCCCTACGGCTCCATACCCCCGAGTCCATATGCTAACATCCCACCCAGCCCCTACGCTAACTTCACACCCACCCCCTACGGTGCAGCAGACATCCAGCACAGGCATCCCTACTCCCCCCCTTCTAGACATGAACAAACTCCCTCACACCCTCCTGCGGACCCCAGGACGCGACCCGAAGCTCGGCCTCATCCCCAGACATACTCCTCCAAAACTGAGCCGACACAGCCCCAGGCTAACGCTTCTTCACGGGTCAGTAACTCTGAGGCATGTGAGGTAACAGTCCAGACTGACGTATTACATAAGTCGTTGTTAATTTATGAAAGATGTTATAGTTGCTGTTGTTGTAAATTCTAACAACAACAAGCTACTGTCCCTCAGGAAAAATGTTATCCTCAAAACAAGATGCAGTTTCCTTAAAAGAATAGAGTGAGAGGCTTGTTAGAAATAAAATAAAGAACTGTATGTAGGATGATGAAAGGGAAAGCAAGTGTATTTGAAAATGAAATAAAAATATGTATGACCTTTTAATTAATCATTAAAATCAACAACTCAAGTGTCTGAGAGACGCACTGAGGCAAAAGGAAAATAAAAACTAACAGAGACAAAACAAAAGAACAAATACAGAGCCAAACAAACAGAGTGGCTTCCAGCATCTGCCACAGACCCTTACTGAGAAGAAATGAAAGGATCAAAATCAGTCAATGGGATGAGAAAATGCCAAACTAGACGGAGGGCGTCTCGTTCAGCGTCTTCTGAATGTGGTGCATCTTTTGAATATGTTGGTCAGTGTCTGCAGCATTAGAGGTCTGGTGATTATACTTTTTTTTTGTAGGGCAATAATAGGTTTTTTTTATATGTTTTAGTCACATGAGATTGTTTGGATCTGAATCAGATTCCAGTTTACAGTAAATGTTCACACACAGGACATTTGCTTTGGTGAATTGGTGCATAGACAAGAAGAACAACAGAACTTTTTTACAATACAAATATTTTAAAATGGAAATATTTGGACAGAATGTTCAAAGATATATATTGAACGAAAGATTCACAGATAATGCAATAAGTTGCAGTGATGCACCATCCAGTTTCTAGATTCCAGTTCTGAGATAAATGAGCATAAGTGCGACATGACATTTTTCGACCCAACCTCACAGACACTTTCTAAAAACTAATTATACTGTGCTGCATTCATAGTCCTGTATTTATACAGTCCCTTTTCTACCATTTACGTTGCCTCAACATTGTCCTGGCTGCAACACAATCTGAAGAGACAATGTGTAATGTCTGCAAAGCCTTCATTTTAAACTCTCTCTCCTCTCCGTGTGGCTTTCAGGTTCAGTCAGGAAAGGACAGTGGCTCTCGGAGGAAGGCTCCAGGCATCCCCATAAACAAGGACAAACCAGTCAGGAAGTTTGGTAAGAGAGTGAGAGACAGAGAAAACATGAGAGTCAGCAGGAGAGAAAGTCCCCTCAGTCCCTTAAATCTAATGTGAAAGAACACCTTTTCCCAGCAGAGCATCACTCCTTATTGCCTGTTTTATTCATTTTTTTGTGTCTTTTTGTGTGTGTGTGTGTGTGTGTGTGTGTGTGTGTGTGTGTGTGTGTGTGTGTGTGTGTGTGTGTGTGTGTGTGTGTGTGTGTGTGTGTGTGTTGTTCGTCGTCGTCGTAG